TTCTCCATTCTTCCTCTAAGAATATATCAAGTACAGTAGATGGATATGTATAGGCCTTTACATGACATGCCATTAGTGTGTGTGTGTGTGTGTGTGTGTGTGTGTGATGGAGTTATTTGCCTTCAGATGTGGTGTAAACTTCTGTCTGTCTCTACAGAAAGGTTGTTTTTCAGTGTAGAAGTTCACATGAGGTTAGGGTTTTGTGCCTCTGTAAAACTTACCAACAGTCTTTTTCAAGCGATTAGTTTTTAAATACTGCCTACCAGCATAGCAATTAGTAGGTAATCTCAAGTGGACCTGGTACAAAGTGAAATAAAAATATTTCAGAAGGAACAGTCATGTTTCTGCTGCTGTTTTCCATAACTGAACACAGGTGCAGAGACAGGGGGCCAACACACTTTCATATGGGCAACTATGATTTTATGAAGCTGCGGATTTGAAAAAATTTTATGCACAAAGATACTGATAGTCTTCTCCATCACTAGCTGCATTTGTGACGCAATTATCAGAACCATCTTACCAACCCAGTCTCCTGTCCCTCTTAAACATTAAACAATACCTAGGAAATTAAATATCTGCACATGTGCTCTTTCTTGTGGCAGCAGTCTTAGCTAAATTCACAATGTGCAACACCCTAGCCACAAAACTGGGAGCTGAAAATTCTGGGTACTACTGGGTACATAACATGCATTCCACACTCGGGTACACATGGTCCATATTCCACATTCTTCCTTCTTTCCCTTTCAGGATGCCAGTTTTCAGTCATCTTCCATACATTAAACATCCATAACTAAGTTCAGATAACTAAGTGTTTTATCTCATCTACTGTTAATAACTATTCTTTGGAGTAAGGCTTCAGGAATCATCTTCCCCATTTTACACTAGAGTGTAAGTGCACAGTATTTGGTGCAGCTGAGGACAAAACACACATCCCCATCACTCAGCTCTTATCCACTGAGCTATATTGCTTCTTGGATGATGCTGCGTCTACAAGTTCTCTATAAAATAATCCTTTCCTGCCCGTTACATATTGTGAGAGAAAACTAACTAGATCACCACTATGACCACCTTCTTCCACATAGGAAAATAACTGTGTAGTTAATTGATGCACAGATCCCTCACAAGTACATGTTGATATTTGAGATCAAAGTTAACATTTTTTATTTACTGTCGTAATAAGCAATCTTATGTACTGAACAGAGGCATGGGTGGGATATGTTTATAAGGCTATAAATGTGTTATCCATTGTGACATTTGGTAGTTATGTTAAAAGGATATATATTAGGGCATGCGTGGATGGATGCTGTCCTAATAAGCAACGTCAGGGAAGAGAGATTTTATTCCAAAAATATTTATTCCTAAAAATTTTTTAATTGCCCAGCTAAGCAGACTAATTGTTCCTGTTGTTTTCCTGATGTAGGCAGTAGCTAATTATGAGTGAAGCCAAAGACTAACTTTACTTTTTGTTCTGTTTCAGCCAAATCAAGATGTAGCAAGCAGTCCACCAGAGAGTTCATTCCAGAAGTTAGCACCCAGTGAACATAGGTACACATTATTAAGGGAAAAAGATGAACTTTAAAAACTTGAACTAATCTTGCAAGCCTTTTCAAGCAGCAGCATTGACTTGTGTGGTGGAAATAGTAAACCTATATTTTCATAATTCTATGTGTATTTTTATTTTGGATAAACTGAAAAATAATTTTTTTGCTCCCTGGGCTTGTAAATACATTTGTTTGGTGGGTCATTCTGTACAGCATCTTTCAAATGGCTTGTTCCTAATGCTATAGTAAAATATCAGAGACCCATCTAGACTTTTGATCTAACTCCTTTCTGTAAAACTTTTCTAATTCAAATGAAGGTATCATTGCCAGAGACATGCTGTTAACTTGCACTCTCTAAGTAGGACTCCTCTGATTTTTTTTTCTCTGTGTAATCTGGTAGTATGTGCTTTTATTTCTTCCTCTTCATGTGAACAGCTATCCTGGTACTCCGTTTCATTGTCACATTTTTCTCATAATTAAGAGGGCGTATTCTGGATACTTGGGAAGGGAATAAATTAAAGTTTTACAGAATGTTGTGGTGTGCTTTCCTGTAAACAGCTGTTCGGATATCTCCATTTTTTCCACTTTGATATTTTTATGGTATCAATATTGCATTCCTCTGATCTTGAGGCCTTAATGCATTATACCTACAAAGGCTATGTTAAAAAAATACTATGGTTGCAATGCCTGACTCTCAGTTGCAGTATGTCAAAATTAGGCTGGCTTATGCACCCTTAATTTAGCCTCCCTGTACCTATATGTGGGAGGCTGTGTAATTAAAGACCACATCAAATCTTTTTTTTTGCCTGCATATGACCCCTTCTGCATTCATTGTGTGGCATGATGCTCACTTAGGGACTATCCAGCATTTGTTGTTTAATCATTTGTTTTTTTTTAAGCGTGTGCCTTTGTCTTATGTAGCACGTTATTCAAACTGCTCTGAACACAGTAGTAATTTCTTCATGACCTTTTTTCTAATACTTAACACTGTATGAGGAATGCTTCACAAAGATTAATTTTTTAAGACAGTCCATAATATGGAAGAAGAGGGGAGATGGATTATGTCCATTTTACAGATGAGGTGTTGACATATACATTAAAATAGAAAAATCATCTATTAATTTTAGGTATCCATTTAGAAGCCACATGAACCTAATTTTTGTTATCTACTACTATGGAAGCCTGGCCCATGACTTGGGCTTCTACACTTTATCAGAATGCCCATTTCCAGTTTGTGTTCAAAACATGGCTTCCCTTGATTTCATGCTTCAGCAGTGCTCATGCTTCAGCTAATCAGAATACAGGGCTTCAGGTCAAAGAAACTAAGGCATTTGCAAATCCTGACCACCCGTTAAAAAAAAATAATAATAAAAAAACCTTTTAGGGACTTGTCCAGTGTTATGGCAGAGGCTGGGGGATAAAATCGTGTTCTTCAGGACAGCATTCAACTGTCTTAACTGTAAGACTGTCTGTCTTTTTTTTCTCATTCCCCTACACTGTTGTTGCAAATAAAACAGGGACCCCACAGGTAATGGCCTCCTGCATTATACTGCATTATGATACCTTGAGCTGAACATAGTAAGAAGAATCATAGGTAATCAAAAAAAGTATTCCATTTTGGTGATGGGATAGTGATAGTGGACAGTTCCATGTCAGCCTATGTTATACCTAAAAACCAAGGGCCACTTTCAGACATGCGTGGACATTTGTTTTGCCAGGGAAACTAGCAGCAGTGTACCTTGTGCTGCTGTTATCCCCAGGGAATGCCTATGCCACGGGTGCTCTGGCATGCGACAGGCTACTGGGGGGCAGCAGGTGGGATGCGGGGCAGCTAAGGCTAGCATTGGGCTGGCCCCAGCAGCTGTACCTGGGATCCTGGGGCTGCAGCAGTGGATAGCCAGGGGCCAGCGCCGCCCACCCGCTTACAATGTGGAGAACAGCTGAACGTGCGGTATGTGGCGCTGCGGTTCCCCCACCGTTCACCCCCGGCACACCAACATCTTGCAAAGTTGAAGTTGCGGGTGTTTTTTACATTCTGCCCAAAAACATTGCTGACCCCTGTGCTATAGAGTAGCTATCACTGTAAGAAATCTCTTATGGATTTGATTTCATTATTTTATTTCATGATGCAAAGGGAGCTTATACTACTTACTGAAATATGTCTAGAAATTGCCTGGCATATTATGTGTTTTGTCAGAAACAAACAAGGATGAAACTTGCCCATGGAGGTCAGTCAGGGAGAGGGAGAAACAATGTACATGAAACAAGCACCTGTCTTCCTTCTAGGCACCATACAAAAATAAATCTGTAGTAGGGACTTCAACAGGAAGAAAGTGGTTGAGCTTCAGTAACATACAGAGATCAGCATGCGTTCAGGTATAGAGGTGATAGCAGGCCTCCAGCAAGTATGCACGTCTCAATTTCTGACTTTATTCATAAGATTAACACTGGTTCCGAAGTTTAAAGAAAGTTTGTCAGAAAATGGCAAACATCTGTTTAGATCAAACTTTGTTTGGGATGTCTGCCTCTATCCAGAATGGAATTATGGGGAAGGGGTCAGAAATGCAAACAGCCCAAAGTAGCAAATATAGCCATGCATGTAAGACAATTGGAGCATGGGAAACTCAGGTTCTGGTGCCTCTTGAAGGAGATTCAAAGCTAGCAGGCACTTGAACCTTTGTTTTCTATGTAGAACCAAGTGCCCTAATTACTGGCTATTCTCGCTGTTTTCCTCTGCCTACATTGGTGTGCAAGTCCCCTGTGTTTCAGTGGTAGAATCCTTGTCTGTTGCACAGGAGACCTGGGTTCAATTCCTGGACTCTTATACAAATACAGCCATGGAGGCACCAAGCGCCTGGACTCAGTCTAGCCTTTTGATTCTGTTTCAGTGGATTGAAGGTCTCGGCAGCCTCCACTCCTCCAAAACTCCTGCCTAGGCATATGCATCAAAGATCTGGGTTACCTCTCGTACATATGCCATGATCTGGAAGGATCAACAGTTGCTAAACACTGGTGTGTGTAAAGAAAAGAAAAAAAGAATGGTGGGGAGGGTTACTTTAAATGGAACAAAAACAAATCCCAAAACCTCATTTTATATCAGAACTTGAAATTAATATTCTAGCCCTTTCCTACCCAGCATCCATATACATTACCAATGAAATAAGCTTTGATAGACTGACAAAACTTTATGCAAATTCCAAATATTGTAGATGTTTCAGGTGGTGTACCTATCCATTTGAATGTTAATTTCTCTTGCAGTCTTGCCACTTCCACTAGTGGAATATTGATAGCATATATGATTGCTAGTTCAATAAAATATTATTTTAAATGTTAGTTTTATACAATTATTTAATCATCCATGCAGTGTTAATTTACATAAAAGTAGTGATCATTTAGATACTGGGATGAAAACAGAAAACAACACATTTTAAATAGAAAATACAAACCATATAAAAATGAAGGCAAAAAAAAATCTTTATTGAATCTGACAAAATGTCTACCTTGTACTTCTGACTCTTGAATAATGTCCATAGCAATTTAAGCAATGGTTTGGCCACGAAAGGGGGCCCACGTTTTTCTATATATTCAAAAGAAACCCTCAGACTTGAAATTGAATTATACAATTCCAGCAGTATTGTTGGCTTTAATGGCATATAAAGTTTCTTCATGCATACCAGATGCAAATGAAACTGTAGTTTTTTTTTACTGGATTTCGTTTTTTCAAACATGAGAGAGAGAAGCAATATGGCTTTAAATGTCTCTTAAGTGAGCATCTATTAAACTGATTTTGTATGCAACTTTACAGTCACTAGCCTAGTGAAAAAAAAAAAGAAGGTCCTCAGTTCTGTACATAAGGATTGTCATAGCTGTATTCCCAACTTGCAAAAGTTTGGGCAATTCTCTCTTGGTTCCTGTCATCAAATGCATACAAGTTAGCAGGGTAAAGAAGAGAAGTTGACATCTTCAATGTCTACTCCAATTCCTAGAGAGAGCAGTGGTTTTTTCTGGTTCCGAATGCTCTAAATGTAGGCAGATAAAGTGTAATGGCTAAGGACATCAAACAAGGAATACATTTCTCTGCTATGGGTTGTTATGAGTTCATTACAAATGTGTATAGTCATAATAGATGCGATTTAAAAAAAAAAAACGTTTCTTGCATGGCACGTGCAAATAAGCCAGGTAACTCAGGAGGTTTTCTCAACCCCATGTAATTCTACAGAGAAAGGCACTTTGGCTTAATACATGGAGTTTTGTTAGTTTTACATTTTAATGATTACTTGTGAACACCATTTTCATTCATGTTGCTTCCCTGAGCCTAAGTCTTATTTAAAGTAGACAACATCATCTACACAGTTGCAGTTGGTTTGTACTCTTAAGTAAAATAAATGAGAGAGAACTACAGGAAACTTGTCTTGAAGCTAATGGTTTCTTAGAATGCATTTAGGCACCAAAGCCAGAGTCCATTATTAGAAGACAATATTTTCATAGATCGACAAATTGTTGGTTATTAAAGTGGAGCTCCAGTAATTGTTAAGTGAAGTGATAGTTCTCCCCTAAAGATATGAAGGACTGAACATCAACATGTAATTACACAATATTTAGGAAAACCTTTTAGATATTAATTTGTAAAAGGTCTCAAGAAGATCCAACCATTTGAGATCTTCCAGAAGCAACTTTGCGCCCTATGTTTTCCCAGAAAGTGGTAGCAGCAGTGCTGGAACTCATGCAGAGTGATGGGGCACAGCTAGACCGTGTGGAAGAGCCAGGGCTGTGTGACATTGAAAACTCATTAAAAATACTATATTTAAAAATGGAAGAGGCAGAGACATAAGTGGACTTTAGTTGACAATACAATGAGCAGGATAAATGAGGCGCAACAGATACCCCCAGGAAGATATCCCTCAACAGGCATCACCAAGAAGACAGTGGCACAAGCCAGAGCTAACTACACCCATATACACCCCAATTCCTTGAAGAGAAAACTCTGCTGACTGTGAATTCTAAGAACTAGACGCATCTTGGCCCAAGCTGCCCAGCGGAGCAGAGCTCGGATCTGCTGAGGTAAGCAAAAAACGGAGTGAAAGCACTAGCATAATTATGCTGTATGGCTGGAGACAGCCAGCTGAGGAATAGTATACAGGGCTGACTCGTACCCAGCTGTGTTCATGACCTGGGTGTTGCAACAGACTTGGCCATCTTTCAAAATGTTTTTTCTGATCAGATCAGCTAATGACAGCACAGTCACCAGGACTATACCCATATGACAGTCCTTTGTAATCTATAACCACCTCACCTGGCAAAGAAACTGATGCCAATTATCATCACACTCTTGCTAAATCAGTGGAACAGGTATAAGGAACTACTGAGGAGTTGCTGCTGTTCCAGCAATATCAAATGTCATGAATGGCTGGTTTTTAACTTCTTCCACTGCTGTTTTGCTGCTGGCAGAATGTTAGAAAGGTGCAAAGGAAGAAGGGACATCAGCATCCAACAATGAGCCAGGCAATACTTAAATAAGCAGGGCTTCAATGTTCCAAATCTTGGAATTTAATTTCAATCCCAGACAGTTGCTTTCAAAGACCAGCTGGGATTAGACCATAATGGAAAGCTACACCCCTAGCACAACCACTCCTATACAATTTTTTTATTGGCTTGTTGGGAAGGGATGGAAAGTGAAACTGTTTATTCATAAGAAGCAGTAGATGATTTAAGAAGGACAATAAGAAAAGGGCAGGAAAAATAAGCTTTTTAAAAAAGAAAATAAAGATTGTGTAGTGCTCTAGAAAGGCAGCCCAGCTTGACAGTACAAGCAGAGGACAATGAAGCTGCCTCCACAGCTTGCAACGATACATTTCAACCTTAACCTGTAAAAAGTTGTGCTGATTTATGCTTCTGTTGAACAGAGTGTCACTTATCCTATGGTGGTTTGCGGATACAGCCAAATTGGTATTTTGCTGGAACCAAAATTGTGAAGTTTAGAAGCTGGCTGGAAGCTAGTGTGCTCATTTTTTTTTTTAAATCACTTAGAAAAAACGCTCCAAACATTAGGGTGTCTCACTCTGCCCTGGTGAGAATGCTCCAAGGCTTTCCTAAATTTATTCTAAACTCTCAACTAAATCTACTCCTGTCATCAGATAAAATAAGAGGTGAATTTGGCACAGAACACCTGGCATTCATCATTACAGCTGCAGCCGTAATGCACCATATGCCTATGATAAAAAGGCAGTCCTTACAGCTTTCAAAACTACAGCACTGCCTTGTCTCAGTGGCACTCTCTCAAATGCTTAAGTTCTAGCATCTCTGTGTCACCCCCCCCAAAACAGCAATATAGTTGTCCAAATTCATGAGACTCAGATTTATATTCAAAGCAAAGACTGCAAGTTGTCATCATTGCTGGGGATATTACTTCTGTTCCCAGCCTCACTTCAGTTAGATTTTTTGTTGCTCTGACTAGGAAGGTCTGGACAGCTGGAAGAGAGCTGCTCAATCACTTTCTGTTTTCTTCTTTGTATCAATTTTCCACCTGTGAAGCCCAGAATCCCACCACCAAGTGCAGCTGCAATTCCTGCTACTTTGAAGCCTGCAAGGAGACCAATAGGACCCCCTACCACTCCTCCAATGAGTGCACCTGCCACAGGCAGAGCTGCCAGCTTGTACTTTGCAGCCTGTTAAAAAAAAACACAACAAAAACAATCTATTCAGAATACATGCCTGTGGTGATGTGCATTTTCCCCTCATTAGTCTTGGCAATATATCCAGATTTTAGCACAGAAATAAACCTTGCAAATTACATTTTTTTTAAATACACTATTCTACAGGTAAGAGAGAATATGCCATGTCTGCTTCAAACTTGAACAGTTCCAATTATGCAACAGAACACCAAATTATTTTACAAAGTGGCTGAATTTATTTACAGTCTAGAATCCAGTGGCTGGGCTGTGCCATTAAAATAAATGTAGTAATTGGAAAGTGTCCAGAAGCTGTTTCATAAACATGCCTGAAGGTTGCATATGTCAGCTAACAGCAACTCTTAGCAACATAAATGTAGTTCAGCATCACATAATTGTGTGTCACCATCATAGTTTCATTTCACGCGTATTTGAGTCTTATGAGCCAATCATTTAACACACTGCCTGTTTTTCCAGGTATTCCATTGGAAGCAGCAGCAGAACACCTTATAATGAGACTTTAGGCAGAGAAATTCTTTTCTGGCAGACTGGATGTGACAGAACATTACAAGCAAAATTGATTTTTTTTTTACTACCTATGTCATTTCTTCCTTATTTCCTTAATTGCTGGTTCCCTCAGCATTAAAGACGGCAGATCAATTGGGTTAATACAGAAGATTGCTGGGAGGCAGAGTACCATTGATTCACCAGCAGGAGCAGATCCCTACCTTCCCCAAGTTTTTGGTTCCCTCTTCAACATTCACAGCGGCATTGTTGACATGGTCTTCAATTCTGTCAATCTTCTCCTGCTGAGACTAGATGCAAAGGAATTATGAGTGAGGTTACCTGCTGGGAAGCAGCAGTAAGCCAATACACACCATTTTAATGCCTGTAATCAGGGCCCTGCAGCAGCTTTCATCTGCTACGTACTGTACCCATGCAGCCTTAATGGTAGTTCATTAATAGCTTCTGATAAGCCATGCTGAAACTACAAAGTTACTTAAAAAAGGAATTTAACTATCAGGTCATGAAATGGGAAGAAATTATACAGCATATTGTTATAGTTCAAGAAAGCATACTGAAGTGTACTCTCATTTGATCTATTGTTCTGTGAATAAATGAACTTGCATTTTAGGGAAAAATTCAAACAAGCATTTATGTTTCATGCTGAGTTTCATTTTCAAAACAATTCATTTTTCTACAGGGTGAAGGTACAAGATCAACATAAGTTATATTAAACAAAAAGTTTTGCTGAAATCCAAACTGCCATCTTTAATCTATGAGGCTGTAATATATTAACTTAACCATACACATATAACCATCTGACAATGTTGGAAATATTTTTAATATGACCCTAATCTTTGCACTTCCATTCTTCCAAAATTCTAATTCCTGCTTCAAACCCCCTTAAACTTTAGGAGAGTAAAATCCCTCGGCTGGTACTTAGAGATGGGATACCTTCCTGTCCTTTTTAAACCCCTGGAGGACCCTTAGCATTATTCTGTCACAATAATGGGCTGTCCAGTGTACTGTTTAAGATTATGCTCATTCTGCACAGTTCTTAAATTTAGAACATTTTCTAGGTCAAGAACCTAGTTTTGTCAAACTTGGTGTAATAAATGTGTCTGACAAACACACATGCCTTTCTCACCTGCCTAGTACTAGACACTACAGATGCTCTATTTTACCCATTGCTGCATGTAACTTTCCTAAGAACAAGGAACAAAAAAAATTGCTCCTCACTGCCAGGTAAAAACACTCCACCACTAGGCTACAGAATCAGGCTTCCTTTTGTCTGCCCTCTTAGGCTCAATGAATCTTGAATTCTTTTCTGCATAAAGGAATAGCTTCAACAAGATGGGTGGAAAGGGCCCCACCCAGAATAACCTATAAACCACCTACAAGGTGTAGGCTTGAATCAGAAAATCAGGGTTGGAAAGGACCTCGAGGGCATCTAGTCCAACCCCATATTCGCAGCAGGACCATCCCCAGCTAGATCATTCCAGCCAGGGCTTTTTGTTGAGCTGGGCCTTAAAGACCTCCAAGGATAGAGACTCTACCACCTCTTTAGGTAATCTGTTCCAGTGCCACACTACTAGTTAGAATTTTTTTTCCCTAAACCTCCCTTGTTGCAACTTGAGACCATTGCTCCTTGTTCTGCCATCTGTCACCACTGAGAACAGTCAGCGGTTCCCAAACTCTGACCGATTGCGCACCACTAATTTAAAATGATACAACCTTAAGTACCACCAGCAATTTTTTCAGTTTAACCTTAAGTGCCACCAGCAAATTTTTGTCCTATAAAGTAATAATAAATCTGTTAACACGTACCACTGACAGGTTGTCTGCATAACACCAGTGGTACCCATACCACAGATTGGGAACCGCTAGCTCCATCTTCCTTGTAACCAAACTTTAGATAGTTGAAAGTACTAGCAAAACCCTTCTCAGTCTTCTCTTCTGCAGACTAAATAAGCCCAGTTCCCTCAGCCTCTCCTCAGAAGTCAGGTACCCCAGCCCCCTCACCATTTTTGTTGCCCTCCACTGGACTCTCTCCAACTTGTCCATGCCCTTTCTATAGCGGGAGTGGTGGGGGGCAAAACTGGACACAGTACTCCAGATGTGGCCTCACCAGTGTAGAATAGAGGGGAAAATTACTTCCCTTGACCTGCTGGCAATGATCCTACTAATGCAGCCCTGTATGCCATTAGCCTTCTTGGCAACAAGAACACAATGTTGACTTATAATCAGCTTATTGTTCACTGTGACTCCAGGTCCTTTTCTGCAGAGCTGCTGCTTACCCAGTTTGTCCGAAGCCTGTAGCAGTGCATACGATTCTTCCGTCTTAAGTGCAGGACTTGGTACTTCTCCTATTGAACCTCATAAGATTTCTTTTTGGCCCAGTCCTCCAATTTGTCTAGGTCATGCTGAATCCTAGCTCTACCCTCCAGTGTATTTACTACTCCCTCCAGCTTGGTGTCATCTGCAAACTTGCTTAGGGTGCAATCCATCCCATCTTCTAGATGGTTAATGAAGATACTGAACATAACCAGCCCCAGGATCAACCCCACTAGTCAACAGCTGCAAGCTACACATTGAGCCATTGATCACTACCTATTGAGTCCAATGATCCAGCCCACTTTCTATCCACTTTACAGTCCATTCATCCAACCCATACTTCCTTAGCTTGCTTGCAAGAATGCTGAGGGAGACTGTATCAAAAGCCTTGCTAAAGTCAAGGTATATCATGTTCACTGCTTTCCCCACATCCACAGAGCCAGTTATTTCATCATAGAAAGCAATCAGGTTGGTCAGGCATGACTTGCCCTTAGTGAATCCATGCTGACTGTTCCTGATCACCTTCTCCTCCAAGTGCTTAGAAATGGATTCCTTGAGGACCAGCTCCATGATTTTCCTGGGGACTGAGGTGAGGCTGACCAGTCTGTAGTTCCCTGGATCCTCCTCCACCACTTCCAAAACCCATATATGTAGTAAAATTGGTGCAATGTATTGTAATGCAGATGGGATAAAGAACAGACTGAACAGAGTGTGTGCATAATGTTTGCACAGTTTTCCCCCTTTCAAATATGTTGCAATGGAATGCAGTTCCTTCCCTGTGGTCCTGGCAAGACAAAAACCACCTGCAAGACTCTAGTCTTTCTGGCTGGAGTCCCTCATCCTTCTCACCACAACTAGAAATAATGTTTAAAATGGCAGGGACCTTGCTAAGGAACCTGTTGCACCTCATGTTCCAATATTTCTGATGATTAATATGTGACCTAGAGAATATGAGAAGTAAGTTTGGACAGAAGTCATGCTATCAGTGACTTCTATGCTGAGTAAATCAAGGACCAAGGAGCAGCCAACAGTAACTGCTCTGAACTAAGAAGAATTTAGGTAGGCAGAAAATTGTCTCAACAGAGTACCAACAGGGCTACTAGTCAGGACATGCAGCATGAAGCTGCTGCTGATACACAGAAAAAAGACCATTAATAACCACTATTGTTCACTAAGCAGCACAGACTACCTTGCAATGAGGCAATCAAGCACCCTTTGGGCTAGTGCAATTGAATATTCTTAATTGCTGCAATATAACGCTTGAAAAACAAGAGTAAGACTCAAACGTAAAACTTATACCTAGAGAATTTAATGTAAACCATTATCCTAAAAACCTCATGAGGGCTTTCAGTATAGTAATGTTTTAACAGAACAAAATTCTTAAGCAGTCACTGCTAAGACAAAAAAGTAAAGCAAAGCAAATTCTCTCCTGGCATTGTTAATAGTTTAGAGAAGATTCAAAGGCTTTTGGCTGTAATGAGTTGGGACATAGTCCTGCTCTTTACCTAATGACCTTAAGGTTCTGATCCTAATGCTGTTAGAATGTTATGTATGTAATTCAAAAAGTGATTTTTATATCTAGATTTCTAAAGGTGGAAATATAGATTTTCGAGGAAGATAACTGACATCAAAAGTTTAGGTTTAGTTTTGGACAGTATCTTTCCTCAACATACTTTTAACTTACTGACACTGTGCATAAGGATTTCTGTATATCCATAAGCATATCATGTAGGACTCCCAGGAGAGGGTTAGATATGATCATAGATTCTGAAATGCTCAATTCATCCACAGAAGAGATGCAGTATATAAGAGGTGTCACACTGGATCAGACCACAGGTCTATTTAGCCCAGTACTCTGTATCTTAGTGGCACAGAACAGATGCTAAGAGGAAGAATATTTTTTGCAGGACCTAAGTAGACTGGCCTGTCCCTTACCTCTCTTCCCTTACAGCTTTTAGCATGCAGGGGCCTAGAAAGTCCTAATTTGGCATTGCAGCTTTACTATCATGTTTAATAGCCACCGATGGATTTATCTTGCATAAATTTGTCTAAGCCTCTTTTGAACCTGGTTGAATTATGGACATCTGCAATTCTTATAGCAAGTTAATTATATACTGTGAGAAAAAAAGTTCCTTTCATTAGTTTTAAATCTGGTCTGTAATAATTTCACTGTGGGCACATCTACATGTGCATTAATGCACTTTAATGCGCACTAAAACTAGCACTTCGATTGTGAGGTACTAGGAAAATGCACACTAGCCTGGTTTATGTGCATTAACTAAAGTGAATCCTTTTTAAATTATGCTTAATGTGTTTTAACCTGTTTTAATGCACATTCAGTAAAAGCACAAACATTTATACAAATACCTTTTTGTGCTGCAGCTTGATTGAGTCTGTTCCACATGCGAGCTGATGTGCCCAGTACTGCATCACATGCATTTTTATAAATGACGAAATCCGTGTTAGTGCTGAGAAAATGGCAGCCTTTGATGTGTTTTAGTTCAAAAGCATGCCACTGCCATTTTTCTCAGCACTGATGCACTTTTTGTCATTTATACAAATTATACAAATGTGTGCGACACAGTGCTGGGCACTTTCAAATGTGCCCGGTGCTGCATCACACACACATCTAAAAATGCCCCATGGTTTTTTACATGACACTTTAATGAGCATTAAAATAGGCCAGGTGTTTTCAACTGAGGGTACTTAGGAAGGCTTTAGGGGGTACTAGGCAGTGGGCGCTGCCAGCATTTCCACCACCAGAACGCTCGCCAATCGGCTGCTGGGGGACCTTCCCCCGCCCCGGCTTGTCAACCGGCCACTGATGGACTCCTTCCTTCTCAACCAACCGCTGGGGTTGCACTGGCCCAAAAAGGTTGAAAACCCCTGAAACAGGCTAATGCGCATTAAATCACATGTGCAGACATGCCCTGAATATCATCTTGTTTTCATTTTCTGAGTCATGGTAAACAAGTCCCTATTCACTATTTTTACACTATTACTTATTTCATAGCTCTCTATCATATCCCCCCTCAGTTCTCTTTTCTCTAAGCGGAGAAGTCTTAGTCTCTTTAGTCTCTCTTCATACAGAAGCCTCTCCATGCCTCTGATCATGCTTACTGCCCATCTCTGTACCTTTTCCAGCTTTACTACATCTGTTTGGAGGTAGGAGGACTGAAATTCACCCTGACTTCAAGGTGGTGGTGCATCACAGACTTATACAGTGGCATAGTGACATTTTCTATTTTGTTTTCTATTCCTTTCCTAATAATCCTTAACATTCTATTAGTCCCTTTTTGATGCTGAACATTGGATTGAGCATACACACAACGATCCCAACATCTCTTTCCTGAATTAGTAATAGCTAATGTCGAGTCCATCGTCGTGTGCATACCTCACATTATTTTTTCCTGCATGTATCACTTTGCCCTTATCAAAATTAAACTTTATGGGTGCCTCTACACAAGCGCGGAAGCCACTCCAATGTGCTGTAATTACACCACGTCAGAGCAGACTCAGTTAATCAAGTCTGCTGGAGCGTGATAATTACTGTGCTCCAGCAGCCTCCCACATCTTGTATATCACTGTGCCTGCTCTTCAAAATGTCAGTGGAGGTGCTTTAACAAAAGCTTGTTGAACGAGCTTTGGTTCAAGTGCCCCTGTGTGGGGATGGTGATACACAAGACGCTGTGGCACTTTAATTAGAGTGGCTCTCGGAGCTGCTCTAATTAAAGCACTCTCCCCACTCCCTCCCACCCCTGGAGCACTTGTAAAAGTGCCCTATCTGTCATGTTGTTGCCTGTTTATTCAATTTTACAAGACATGTCAACAATTCTTCACAATCAACTTTTTTTTTTTAAATCAACCATCAAACAATTCTTCACAATCAACTTTTTTTAATCATCCTGAATAATTATGTGTAATTGCAAACTTGGCCACCTCCCTATCACCTTCCTTTCCCAATCATTGATAAAAATGTTAAATGGCACAAGCCCCAGGACAGACTCTTGGGACCCCACTGTTTACCTTCCTCCATTTAAAGGAAGGTATTTATACCTACTCAGCAAGTGTATTTACACTTACTCTGTACAGAGGCTATATTTAGTAACAGGTTAAACACTGAAGTTGGTAGATCTGCATTTCGAGGATTCTGCTCCTCCAAGATTCTTGGTGAATACCATCCAGGCCTGATGATATGCTATTGTTTAAGTTAATCAATTTCCTAGACAACCTCCTCTAATACTTCAATTTGGGTCACTTCTACTGATGGCAATACTCCAGTCTTCCCTCTTAGCCTTACCTGAGTGCTTCATCCCTGATGGCTTTGGAGGGAGGGGGGGATGCGAGGCAAGAGGAATGGGACTGTTCTGACTCTATTCATTCCCACTTTCCTGAAGATGCTAAAAAAGGTAAAATGGTAATGGCACGCATGATAGATACCAACTTCTAAACCCTAAAAACTGGATTGTAACACCTTATTTCATGTTAGGCCACTGAAGCACCATCAAATGGTACCCACTTAATCTGCTTTTACCTTGGTAATAAAAATCTCCCCTATAACCTTTATCAGTCCTGTGAAACTCCCATTCCCCTATTCTCTATATAAGATTTAAACACTTACGTGGACTAGCAGAGAAAAGTCAGTTACTAGCTGGTTGAGTTCAATCAAGTCCTACAAATATAAAAGAAAATGCTATTTAGTATAAATTTACTAAAAGAAAGAGAAAATAAAGTGGCAATACATTAATTCCAACATACCTCTTCTAACGTTTCCCATGATTCAGCAGCATTTTCATCCTGAGGAATTTCAGGGAGTGGAGAATGCATCTGGATAAAACTCTGGGAATTTCCCACAGCTTCTATGTTATAAAAAGGTTCTAAGGGAAAACCATGATAATTTCAATGAATGCATGACTTAAAGTAAAAAATAGACTGAATAAAATTGGCAGTCTTTCATCTCAAATGTTGCTCAAGTTTGAATTAATTCAAGCCAGGCAATTGGAGTACTGAAAGGAACAACTTGGGCCATTGGGTCCAGTCCCATGTATTTGCAGGTAAATAGTTGTCTAAAAAGTCCACAAGACCATCTGCTCTGACAGCTCTTACACAACAAAACCACAAATTACACCATTAAATAAAGCAGAAAAAAACCTGAATCCTACAACACGCCATAGGTAAGGAGCAGGGGGGGCAAGGGCGCTAACAACACATTGACACAGTAATGACAAGAAATGTATTCTATTAATACATGCTAGGAAGAGAAACATGTCTTGCACTACAAAGGAAGGCACAATATATCTAAGAAAACAAACAAACAAAAATCCCAAAGCAAAACAAAAAAGCATAGTCCTTGCCAGCCTAGGAGGAAAAAAATCCTCCCTTAACCTAAATCTGATGCCCTTGAGCATATTAAGCAAGCCCCTCCAATCAAATTCATAAGTAGCAGAAGGAGTACCAGTGGATTCCAGCCAAATAGCCAATGCTTCAGAGGAAGCAAAATAAAGAATTTTCCTCCCAGAAAGAACCTGAGTTTGCTTTCAGCCCAATCACAGGGGTTCCAAATACTTGAATCCAAATACTACATATAAGCGATATGCACCTGGGGAGGAAGAACCAGCAGCATACCTACAGACTGGGGAACTCCCTTCTCGTCAGCACAGAGGCAGAAAAGGATCTTGGAGTCATTACTGATTCCAAGATGAACGTGGGCCAACAATATGAGGACGTGGTCAGGAAGGCTAACCGCACCTTGTCATGCATTCACAGATGAATCACGAGCAGGTCCAAGGAGGTGATCCTCCCCCTCTATGAAACATTGGTCAGGTCACAGTTGGAGTACTGTGTCCAGTTCTGGGCGCCGCACTTCAGGAAGGATGTGGACAACATGGAGAAGGTCCAGAGGAGGGCCACTCGCATGATCAGGGGCAGCAGGGCAGACCCTACGAGCAGAGGCTACGGGACCTGAACCCGTTCAGCCTCCACAAGAGAAGGCTGAGAGGGGATCTGGTGGCCATCTATAAACTGGCCAAGGGGGACCAGCAGGCAATGGGAGAGTCCCTGTTCCCCCAAGCACTGTTGGGAGTAACAAGGAATAACGGCCATAAATTGACTGAGAGTAGATATCAGGAGGCACTACTTTACAGTCAGGGTGGCCAGGATCTGGAACCAACTTCCAAGGGAAGTGGTGCTCGCTCCTACCCTGGGGGTCTTCAAAAGGGGGCTAGATAATCACCTAGCCGGAGTTGTTTGACCCCAGCATGGGGGGGGACGGGACGGGACGGGACGGGACGGGGGGAGTATATGGATGGCATGTGCCCCCCACATTTTTGTGCCAATGGTGGGATGCGGGGCTGCAGCCTGGCCAGAGCCAGGGCGTGGCAGCAGCGGGTGCAGCAGCAGCATGATTTCTGTGCTGACAGCGGGGCATGGGGCTGGAGCCTGCCAGAGCTAGCGCCCAGCAGGAGCAGGGGCAGTAGTGATGGCACAGAGTTGTGCCCCCCACTGTCAACACTTACACATCATCTATGATATTACATATGCTGATTACTGCTCCAAGAACATGCCTATCACCCTAATCCTTCCACAAACTTGACAAGCTCCATCCTAAGGAGCTTACATAAGGAAGAATTTCTTACATAAGGAAGAATTTCTTTACAGTCCGAGCCCCCAAGGTCTGGAACAGCCTGCCACCGGAGGTGGTTCAAGCGCCTTCATTGAACACCTTCAAGATGAAACTGGATGCTTATCTTGCTGGGATCCTATGACCCCAGCTGACTTCCTGCCCTTTGGGCAGGGGGCTGGACTCGATGATCTTCCGAGGTCCCTTCCAGCCCTGATGTCTATGTCTATGTCTAAAGCAATGTCCCCTGCTCGTGGTGTGTTTGGAAGCTCATTCTCCATTGCTCTGACCAGTAGAAGCCACCTTCCAGTTTCCAGTCTAAATTTGTTCATGACCAATTTGAATTACTTTGAGCACGTGCTAGTACTCTTCTTCAATTACAACAGCTCTTCTAGTACCTTCCTGTTTACCCTATAAATGTATCTAGAAAAGATAAACATACACTCTATTCGCCTTACTTTTTTAAGCTAAACAATCCAAGCTCTTTGAATCTCTTCTCTTAAGATATGTTCTCCATTCCCTGAATCCTCCTCTTTGGTCCTGTTCTAGTTTAAATTCAACTTTCTTGAACACAAGTGAACAGAACTATATACAACATTTTAAACAGGGTCTTACCAACACCTTGTACTGTGGCACTGATACTCATCTCTACTTGAAATACCCCACTAACAACCCTCAGAACTGCACTGCACTTTTTCACACTTGCAAAACATTGGTGGCTTCCTCTCTTGCTCCATTAACCAGTCTCCTTGTCAGGAGTCCGTAAGTACCTGACTTTGTAATTCATACAGTTAAAACATAGACTATTTCTATTTCTTCACTCCACAAGGTTTTCTTAATTCTTCTAGTGCTCCTCCACAGTTACAATATGCCCAGCTTTGAGTCGCATCTAAGTTTCACAGACGCACATCTAGTTCTTAGAAACACACTAACTCCAATACTCCATCAAACCAATGGTCCATCTGGTCCAGTGTCCTGTCTCTAACAGTAAAAGTAGTCAATGCTTAGAGAGAGAGCATATGAACAGGGAATATGTAGAGTGACCTATCCCGTTACACCTTCAGTGACATCCACCATCATTGGTTTAGAAATGGGAAACATCCCCAACTATTCCATTGAATAGCTATTAATGGACTGTCTCATCCATTGTCTGGTCCTTTTTTGGACCTGGCTATATTATCTGCCTTTACAACCCTAAATTGTAGTGAGTTCCACAAGTTATCTATGCTTCTGCATAAAAAGTACTTTCTCTTGTTAGTTTTAAACTTGTCTCCTAATTTCAGTGGGTGCCCCCTAGATCTAGTATTCTGGGATTTGGTAAATAAAAGTTCCCTATCCACTTCGTCCACACCCTTCATGATCTTAATAGACCTCCATCATATCCCCCCTCAGCCTTCTCCTTTCCAAACAGAAACATCCTAACCTTTTGTCTCTCTTGGTATGGCACTTGCTTCATATCCCTGATCATCTCAGCTACCCTTCTCTGTACCTTTCCTAATACTACTACATCGGGGTGGGCAATTATTTTGGGCAGAGGGCTGCTTACCAAGTTTTGGTAAGCTATCGAGGGCCTCATAGGTAGCCCTGCCCCTTGACAGGTGCCTCACTCCTTGGTTGCCATCTTGGGACTGGAAGTCCCACCCCCTAACCCCCAACCTTTGCCACCAGAAGTCCCTCCCCTTGCCCCCAGAAGTACTCCTTTCAGCAAGGGGTTTTGCCATCTCAGAACCAGAAAAATATCAAATTATATTCTAAAAATCAAGCATCCACATTCTACAACTTTCATTAATTTGATTTTTAAAAATCTTTTTGTCCTGATTTACTTGTGTTTGTGTAGCGGACAGAAGTGATCACACAATAGCTTAAAATGAAGACTTAACCTTGTAAACTGTGGGGGGGTGGGGGACCTGGGGATGGGTATAGGTTTGTGGGGGGTGTGGGGATGTGGGGGAGGGTGTGGGTGTGTGTGGAGGGGTTTGTGGGGGGTGGGTATGGGGTTTGTGAGGGGAGTGTGGGAGGAGGGTGGCTGGGCTGCGTGAGGGGGTGTGGGTGTGGGGGTTTGCATGTATGGCAGTGCGAGGGGGGTATGGGTGCATGTGTATGGTGGGGGGTGCTTGTGAGACTCACCCTACAAACATACACACACATATACACACACACAGTGTGCTTGCCTCACTACACACACACTGTATGCTTGCCTCATTGCTCTCTCTCTCTCTCTCTCTCCCTCCCTCCCCCTACCCGCCTCCTGGCCCTGGGGTACCAGCACACCCCTGCTCCCATGGTCCAGTGATACAACTGGGGGCCACATGAAAACTGCTGCAGGCAGACACTTTGGGGTGGGGCATGGGGGGGAGGGGACTAGGGGTAGGGCCTGGCCAGGCTGGCCTTTCTGCTGACTCCTGCCGGCTTCCCCTGGGTCCTACTGCTCCTGGCTCCTGTCATCTTTGACAGGGAGCCTGGAGCAGATAAATATTAATTTTCTAAACTTTGTAGGTGCCCCATGGGCTGGATAGAATGGCCTGGTGGGCCAGATCCGGCTCGCAGACCATATTTTGCCTGCTCCTGTACTACATCCTATTTGAGATGTGAAGACCAGAACTGCACACTGTATTCAAGATGTGAATGCACCGTGAATTTGTATTGTGGCATGATGCTTTCTGTTTTGTTTTCAATTCCCTTCTTAATGATGTCCAGTATTTTGCTCCCTGTGCACCAGCAATATGGTGTAATGGGATCTAATGCAGGATCCCACATTGTACATCTAGGAAGCATGAGTGTTGGAATCCTACATCAGATCCTATTGCACCTTTTCACTGATGTCTGTCAGGGGCCTGACAAACACCACAAGTAGTCTCTCTACAATGAAGTATTTCAAAAGGAGAGCTATTAGACTGTATTCTCCCTTTCAGTCAATTCCTTAGCCATCTCATAATTATAGGATTCCTCCCATCTTCTCCAGATTTGCTACTAACTTCCAGCTTTGCTTAAATCTAGCCAGATCAGACCCACTGTATTGCCCTTGTCTAAGAAGTCAGTTATCCTATCACAGAAGGATATTGAGTTGGTTTTACACTATCTTCCTTGGATAAAACCATATGGTGTTTTATCATATATTTTGTTTACCATCATATCTCTGGATCGTCCTTTCCTTAAGTACCTGTTCTAAAACAGATATCAATTTAACACTTTAAGTTGTATTAAAGGCTATTGCTGAGCATGTTGTTACTGCTCACAAATATCAACATTAGCCTATTCAGTAAGATTTTCTTAAATTCTCTTTCTTTCTTGTATCCCATGTTCCTTATATGCTACTATCGTGTAGAGAAGAGGTTCCTAAACTTTTTCTTATTGTGTACGCTCTTCCAGATTTACCAGCTGCCACATACCCCTGCCTGCGTTTTATATTTTATCCTCTTAAATGCCAATTATTATTATGCAAATTAAATCCACCATTACACAATTTCTCCCACATATCCCCCAGAGATGTCTTGTGTACCCCCAGGGGTACGCAAACCACAGTTTGGGAACCCCTGATGTAGAGGATAAAAACCAAAAATAAATTATACTTATTTGTGTTATCTTTTTTAACAAGTGATTAAAAGAGGGAATTTTTCATAATATTTTGCCATTCTTTAGCAATCTTTATTCCATGGATCTCAAAATAGTCTTCACATGTTAAAGTCCAAATCTTGGACACCTATAATCAATTGAAAAAGTCCCTGTGACTTTAACAATTCTTGGCCTTACCTGTTTAGTCAAGCTAAGGGGCAGAACAATATGTGAGTAGTGAAGTAAAAAAAATCTCTTAAGAAAACCCTGAATTTGCCTCTGAATTTTCTTTCAAAATCATTCAAGAACACAACTATAATATCACTGTTATGAATATATTATACCTGTGTCTCTAAGATATCCTAAGATATTCCTTTCCCCTTCTATGAATAACTATATGTCCAAATAATTACATGTGGAAAGATTTGGAGAAAGCCATGAAGTTTATTCCATGACGTCACACTTTTTTCAGCAATATGAAGGCTACATTTGTTAAAATTAAACCCTTCCTTGGCAATTCAAAATAAAAGAAGGGTCCTTAGAAGAACCATGTACAGTGGAAATCCTCTTATGTACAATCCCCCCTGCCCTCAAAATCTCCTGCAGACACTGTTCTGGAAGAGGATCCCTGATTACTACCCCACCACAGGGCTTAAGTTATGCAGTGAGCCTTGCACATCTCTACACCCAAGAGTTGTAAGTAAGTTCCACTGCATTATTTTCTGATGATTCTCCACTTCAAAAACGAAAAAAAAAAGAGGTAGTAGAGGAAGTAGAATCACCTGAGGGCTGAAACTAAAAATAAGAAATTTACATTAACAAATTTACATTAAAAAATTCACATTTGAACAAGTTCTAACCTGTGATAGGGGAAGAATGAAAGTGTCTTCTCAACCTTACCTACAGCATCTATTCAGAAATGCAATAATAGAAAACACCTCTACATACACTTTACAAAGCAGCTTTCCACCTCATTATACTTATGATAAAAATCTAATACTCCGGAAAATTCAATATGCTGGTTAAAAGGTTTTAGTAAATTTGAGAGAAGTCTCACCTTTTGTTAATATTTGTTATAATGCAATTAAATTAATCTCCTACTGGAGATGGGGGATGGTAAAGGGGGAAGGAGCTATATCATTCCTTGACATGCCTCTATATGTGTAATTTGAATATATAAACCCTTTACTTCTCTGGGAGATGGGAAGCAACATGGTAAAAGACTGGGGCATAACAAAGTTTCTTTGAGTAAGATCAGCAACTAAGATTTTCTTTCAAATCTATAGGCTTCAAGCATAAAAGAAAAGATTACATTACAGATACCCTGTTAGCTCAAAGAGCTGCTTTCAAACTTTTAAAAAAATCCTATATAATTATATTCAGTTGTCTGCATGGCGGTATGTTTCACTGTACATAGGATGAACAACTTCTGTAATCCTGAGCAACTTGTAGGAAAGTACCAATAATATTTTTCTATACTTATGCTTGTATCCCAATATTTCTGATCAATTTACTGATTTTTAAGTGCAATTTTTCCTCAGTTAAAAAAATCCTCACTTAAAAATATAAAATAGTCAGATCAAGAGATTATTCCTAATCTTTTAAAAATAGTAATTTTCATTCATATTTTATTTTGGCAGGCCCCAAGATCAGGAGGGGGATGAGATTTTTCTGAGCAACCAAAAGTGTCCAGAGAACCAGGCCTAATTAGAAATCAATTAGAAATCAGCAAGGCAGGACACAGACTGTCCACCGAGTTCTTAGAATGTCTCGGGTACAATTTTTGTTTCAGAAACAGAGGAAGTTTTTAGGGCAGGAGCTATCTTAGATTTTATTCTGACTATCCAGGATAAGCCATCTGAGAATCTGAAGGAAGAACGTAATTTGGATGTAAGTGTTCACAAAACAACAATTCATGCTTCTAAGGAAAGGAAAGAATGAAAGCAACAGAAATAGAACAACGAACTCCAGTCTTCATCAAACTAAGAAAACTGATAAGTAGGATCTTGTAGGAAAAGAAATCTGTAGGAGAAAAGTAGTGCTGAAGAGCTAGCTGCTATCAATAAAACAGGTTTTGGCGATGTTTTAATGCCATCTATCTCAACCCAGGAACAACAGCAAGTAGAACAAGAGACCAATATGGCTGTTTCAGGACCCCCTTAATGACTCCCAAATCAAAAGGTAATTGTCCAGGAACAAAGAATGAATATGAAGAAATAACACAAGCATGTAAAAATAAATCAGAAAGGCTAAAAGCATAAAATGAGTTACAACTAGCAAGGGACATTAAAAACAGCAAGCAAATAAATGGGAAATAGATAAATGGTCCTGCTCTTTTTCTTGCTTTTTCAACCAAAGTACCTTGGTGTAATTCTACATAAATGGATAGTTCTTCCTTTGCATCTAAATCTGCTCTTCCTAGCCAACTCCTTCAGTAACGAGTAATGACACACATCTAGAATTTATGATACAAAACCCCCTTTTTCTTAATATCACAAATGGTGATTTAATTAAAAATAGTAAGTGACCACCGGGGATCCTGGTTTTCTCCGTTTAAAAATCCCAAATTCTCTGATTAAACCAAAAATCCCAAATTCTCTGATTAACAAACCCAAAACCTGCATTTTTCCACAATTAAAATGGCACACCATATATATATATATAAATAAAGGTATCATTTGAACACAATGTGTTATTGATATTTACAATTTTAAAGCAATTTGGAAGCCCACCACTGCCTCAATCGCTATAATAAAATAAATTCTAAATACCTATATATATTGACATTTGAGTTTGGTTTTACCATCATGGAAAATCAGAGCTCCTCCTGCCCCTTTTATTTACCAGTGCAGCTGCAGCTGTGCCCTCGTTTTGTGGCACTAAGAAGCTCTGACATGCCAGTGCTCTGCCCCTGCCCATGCCCTGACCTACAGGCCTTTCAACCCCGCTGGTGCCCTTCACTCCCAATCCACAAAATCCTGGTGCCCCTCACTCCTGACCCACAGCCCCTGGCCCTGCCAGTTCACCTCACTCCCAACCCACAGCCTTGCTGGTGCCCCTCACTCCCAAGTCACAGTCCCCCGGCACTGCCACGGCCCCACACTCCCAACCCACAGCCCCCTGGCCCTGCTACTGCCCCTCACTCCTGACCCAGTGCCCCCAGTCCCCCAGTGTGTGAGTTAAAGGGAAGTATGTGTATAAACAATGCATGAGAGAGGCACAGGCAATGGGTGGGGGGTGGCGGAGGTACAGGCAATGTGTCAAGGGGGCTGGGGGCCACATGCCCCCCTGAGATTTCTGTGCCCACCATGGGGCACAGGACAAGAGCTGCCTTCATGGCCCAGCTGGTAGGATGTGGTGCAGGAGGAGGCACCATGCCGCCATAGCCCCCAAGGTGAGGCACAAGATGGTAGTACAGAGTTGTGTCTTTGGTGCTGCTGAGCAGGCAGGGGGCACCTCACTTTGGTGGCCATGGTGGTGCAGCACTCCCTCCTGCACCGGGTCCACCTGCTGGGCCATGGAGGCAACTCCTCCAGAGCCAGTCTGGCCTGTGTACAGCCCCATGTCCTGCTGTGGGTGCAGAAATCTCAAAAGGCACAGAGCCCCCTCCTACCCATCTTGGCCTCCCTACCACATCACCTGTGCTCCTCCGCTCCCCCATGTCACCTGTGCCCTGCCCCCCACAACACATTGCCTGTGCCTCGTTCCCCTCTTCCCCACCCCCATAAACTTACCTGAAGGGAGCTGTGGGAGCTGCCTAGCTGCACATGCACATGTGCACATGCACATGGAGCCCCCTGCGTCCCACTCACCGTAGCCCCAGGCAGCCCCTTGGGGGCAGGAACTCTGCCAGCCTGCAAGGGGAAACCCGTGGTTTCCCATGTTTTTCTCCTCTAAGAGGGAAAATCTGCATTTTTCTCTGTTAAAGGAGAAAATCCACATATTTCCAGAGCAAAATGGAAAACCCAGATCCCTGGTGATCATCACTGCAGAACAAAGGAAAAAGGAAATTTAACCCTTGTGAAACCTACACAAAAGATATCTTCCAATGGGTAGTCTCCTGTTTTAAGATATTCAAGACTGCCTGTTATAATTTAGTTTTGCTTTTATTTTAAAATCCAAATCTATCAGACTATTTTTTTCCCTTGGGTAGCTTATGAAAGTATTCACTAGCTATATACATTTGGTGGTAGGGTAACAACTCAGTTTAAAATACTGTACTCATATGTACTGAGAAAACTGTAATATATGGAAGTTACATCAAAATTTGTGTCGTCTTATATATGAATAATTTTTGGTAAACTAGATTCCCATTGATTTATTTCTACAGTATCTGGTAAGAAAACTCTGGAAACATGTTTTTATACATACTTATGTAGATACACACACATATACAAACTAGATTAAATACATATAAAAATGAAATTATACTACCTCCACCTACAGTTGTAGATCTAGTTAGAGGAGACTTTACAGTGGTATCTTCCTGCTCATTAAACTGCTTTTTAAGTTCTTCTGCAGATTCTGAATGGAGCTGTAGAAATTCTTTTATGGCAAATGAAGCTTCCTCCTTAACGGGATTTATCATTCTTTGCAGAATTTGGATATCTTCCAGACGGATCCGTGAACAAAGCTTCTCCATCTCTCGCATATTGGCTCGCAGTTGCTGTAATTGTTTAAAATGGTTATTGTAACTGTGTGACAAAGAGATACTCCTATATACCCCATAGAAAGACTGATGCAACTATCACCTTAGCTATCCAGTCGGACCCTGAGTTACATGGGGGATACGTTCCTGAAAAACACCGTGTAAGTCGAAACTGTTTAACTCGAGGCATTAAGTTAATGGAAAATAGGAGGATAGGGACCTGGGACCAAGATTTGATAACATTATTTCATAATAAAAGGATATTTAAACACAAAATAATGGAATTAATAGCCTTATTAAAATCTTTACTCCCAGCTACGTGCTCATACAGAGACAAAGCTTTAGCCTTAATTGCCACGCTGTCAACAACTGCTCCTTTTGTATTGGTCATTTCATTGATCCAAAGATTAAGGAGTTTCTCAACCTTATCTAAATGAGGAATTCTAATCAACAACAACACTCTTGAACTCACAGGGGTTGTCGTTTTCACACAGTCTCTAATGTTTTGCTCACTTTTCCTAATAGTATGCACAGTTGATTCACTTAAGCTGTATTGGCGAGCAATTGTATTGGTGAGCAATTGACGCAGCACTATTGCCTTCTCTTAATTTACCAAGGATTTCTATTTTCTGGGCCAGGGTGATAGACTTACATGCTCTTTTGGGCACAACATCAAAGGCTTTCTTTGATGCCATTTTCACAAATATTCAGGGGTTAATGTAACCAAAAATGATGGACATTCTTGGAGGAGACGAAAACTGATGCTAACACTATGTAATGTAAGCAGACTCCAAACTAACAACCGTTCCACTGCAAACAGTGTAAATGTGAAGCAGGGTATCGTGTAAGTTGAAACATGGTCATGTTATATAAAATGCGTATATGTAAATCAGTGTAACTCAAAACTGTGTAACTGGGGGTCTGATTGTATTTTTATTTTTAGGTAACCAGAAAGTTACATTTCCATGTTGTATAAATTAAGGAAGTTACTACTTTAATTTTATTTCAAAATTAAAATGTCTAGTAAAAAATTGTTCAGCCTTGCAGTTAACCAGCAAATTATACAGTAGAAGAAAAGAAAAATCAACCTACAACTAATCTATTTAGGAAATGTAATAAAAAAAAGTTCCCTGGATTGTGCCATTCTGTTGTTTCATCTGTGTACGGATATTAACAGTATTTAAACTCCCAGGTCTGTGACAACTCTTCTGTAAGAATTCTTTCCCTCAAGGTAGTCCAGCCTATGAGTTATCCAGCAGTGCAGTCACTGGTAGAGGTGCAATGATATATCGGTCCGATATTGGATCGGTACCAATATAAAGAAAATTGGCTGTATCAGAAATCAGCCCGATGGGGCCAATAATTTGGCTGATAAAAGCCAGTGCGTGTGCACAGCCACAGCGCAGCACTCAGGCAGCGCTCAAGCACAGCCCAGCAGCATAGAGAGCTGCCTCCAGCTGGTAAGTCCATTGTGGTAGAAGAGGGGGAGGGCAGATCAACCCCCCTCGTGGTGAGGGAGGGGGTAGGGGCAGGTGCTGCCCAGCCAGGGTGGGGCAGGGCAGCTCCCAACACTGTGCACACCCCAGGAGGCACTGGGGGCAGGGGGGGAGGGGACATGTGCCCCCGATCTGTGCAGGGCGAGCAGGCGGGCTGCAGCTGGGGGCTGGAGCCAGGCTTTTCTTGCCAGGGGCTAGGCTCAGAGTGGGGGCTATGGAGGGGGCTGCAGCCACCCCAAATTTCACCGTAGCTCCCTCTTAGCGCCGTTGCGTGCACAGCACAGACCTGGCTCTTCCCTGCTCAACTCCCACCTACCCCTACACAGGGCATGGGATGGGGGTGGGGTGTGGCGGCTCCCTCCCAGCACTGCAGCCACAACCACGCACCCAGAGCAGCCCCAGCTCTTCCTCGCACGTGGGGGGAGGTGGAGGTTGAACTGGGAAGAGCCAGGGCTGCACTGGGTGGGCAGGTGGCGGTGGTGGCACTGGGAGGGAGCTATGGCGAAATTTGGGGTGGTTGCAGCCCCCGCCCAGCACCCCGATGAGAAGAGCCCAGCTCACAGCTGCAGCCTGCCTGCTTGCCCCATCCAGATCCAGGGGGCACAGCCCCCCCCCCCGGGGTGCGCACCGTGGCAGGAGCCGCTCCCCCCCACCCCCCAACAAGCTGCACCTCTGTCCTGAGCCCTGCCATGGCTGGGCAGCACCTGCCCCTGCCTCCTCCTTCACCACAAGGGGGATGTTTGATCTGCCCCCATCCCCTTCCACCACAATGGGCTTACCAGCTGGAGGCAGCTCTCCACGCTATGTCAGAAATTGGATCAGTATCAGCCAATACGGCTCCTTAAAAATCGAATATTGGTATTGGCCCCAAAAATCTCTATCAGTGCACCCCTAGTCACTGGCTATGCATTCCTTCACCTATCCTAACGAACTAACGATAAATAAGGAAGCAGCTGCTGACCTTTGGTACCTAAGTCATATGGTACAGCCCCAGTTACATAAGTCATAATTAAAACTTTGCTTACATGATGAATTTGCCCCAGTTGCTGCCATCAGTTGAGCTGCTGTAGCATAACACCTAACATAAGTAAAGCTATTATTAACAACAATGGTGCTTATGAGAGGTGCACAGATATATCAGTGCCATATCAGATCGGCACCAATAAAAGGAAAATTAGCATTATTGGTTATCAGCTTTTTTTGGCTGGTGTAGCCAATAATGTACAGATATATATGCCTTCTGATCAAGGCCCCTGGACAGCATGTGCACATGCCCAGCTGCAGCATGCACATGGCCAAAAGCACAGCCAGGCAGTGTGAGAGCAGCGCCCTGCAGCTAAGTCTGTGGAGAGGAAGGGGCATGGGGAGGGAAGGGGCATGGTGGGGCAGATTGGGGCCCCCACATTAAGGGAGGGAGTGGGGCAGAGGCAGGGGCTGGAGCTGGGTGGGAGCACTGCCCAGACAGGGCAGTGAATGGGACCCTGGGGCTGGGGCAGGGAGTGGGACAGAGCTGCGGGTAGCTCATCCAGGGGGCATAGAAGGAGGTGGGGAGGCAGCTCCCCACTGTTGAGCATACCCCCAAGGAAGGCATGGGGGGCATGTGCCCCCGCCGATTTGGCCATGGGGCAGAGACGGACTGCCCACTGTGGGCTTGGGGCTGTTCACCCTGCTGCCTTTTGTCCCAGGAGCCCTGAGCCAGCTGCATGCGCCCTGCCCACCTGGCAGCAGTGGGGGCAGTGAGCTGTCCCACCTGCTGCTGGACAGGGAAGGGACATGGCACAGCCACTGCACAGCTCCCAGGGCAAAGGCAGCAGAGCAGAGAACCCCAAGTCCTCAGCGGGCAGCCCACATCCGCCCTCACCCCACTCAATTCTGCTCCTAAAAGCACTACCGAGCTTAAAAGTGGTGGCAGCAGTGCTTGAACTAAAGCTCATTTGACGAGCTTTAGTTCAAGTGCCCCCACTGCCATTTTTAAGCTCCAGGATGCTGATCCCCTGGAAGAGCTGCCCACGCCATCCCTCTTCCCCACCCCAGCCCTAGGGTCCCATTCACCGCCCTGGCTGGGCAGCGCCCCCCGCCCCAGCTTCAGCTCCAGTCCTTGCCCCACTCCATCCCTTACTATGGGGGCTTCAATCTCCCTCCTCCATGCCCCTTCACTCACCCATGCCCATTCCCTTCCACAGACTTACCTGCAGGTGCTCTCCATGCTGCTCAGCTGTGCTCCTGTAAATCGGTTATTGGATCAGTATCAGCCAATATGCCTGGTGAATAATTGACTATCAGTATTGGCGAAGAAAATCTGTCAGTACACCCCTAATGCTTATCCCTACTTGAAAGAGGATTATCTCCAAGAACATGTCTGTAGCTGGCCTGCTTTTGCCCCTCACCCCTGCCCCCTCAGTGGCCAAGATGTTCCACTCCTCACTGTTACATCAGTAGTAACAACTATGCTAATCATCAAATGAGGAAAATTCTTTCCGAATTACTCACCTGAACAAAACAGATAGAGCTAAACATCACAGAAGCTAACCAGATCTGCAACAGTAAATATCCAGCTCAGCCACAGCCAGCTCACCCATCAAAAATGCAAGTTACCTGGTCCACAAGGAAAACATGAACAAGCAGGTAACGCTGTCAATATATATCAGAACTCAACCCCATGGACATAACAGATCTGACTGCTATGAGCACTGATGCTTTCAGCACATTTGCTGAAATGTACTTTATATTTGCACCTGTTTAAGGGCTTACAGGTCAAAGCCAGAACCTTGAAATGTACCTGGAAAGATATCTGCAGCCAGTGCAGACTCTGGAGCACTGGACTGATAGCAAATCCACCCGCGCAAGAAGGTGGGCCGTCACGTTCTATACCAGCTGCAGTCTCTGAATGGTCATCAAAGAAGGCCCCACTTAGAGCAAACTGCAGTAATTTAGCTTCGAGTCTAATAAAGTATAGAAGATGGTGGCCAGATCCAAATCTGAAAGAAAGGGTTGCAGCTTTCTCACCAGAAAAAATAGGTGAAAGGCTCTCCTAATTATCACTGCAACATAAAGATCCAGATGCAGTAAGAATTCAGGAGTACCCCAAGACAGTGAATCTGTGTGACTTAATGTAACACCCCCAAGGCCATGAAGTCCACCATCAACCTCGTTTTCTCTGGATTCAATTTTAAATGGTTCACCAACATCCAGTCCCTCAACTGTAGTCAGGCACTGGATAAGGACAGATTGTACAGCCTCAGTCAGATGAGAGAGAGACAGAACTAGAACTGAATATCATTCATATACTGATGGTACCTCACTCCAAATCTCTGCACAATCTCAACCAGTGGCCTCATATTGAACAGGAAGGATGATAGCATGGAACCCTGGAGAACAGGTCCCAAGGAGACGATGAGCACTCACCCATCACCACCCTGTGGGACCTCCCTGCTGAAAAGATCGGAACAAATTAAGAGCTGTCCCATGCCCCTTCCTCTCCACCAAGTCACATAAACATGTTATCAACACCTCATGGTCTAC